GAGTTGGTATTTTAAATGGCATTCATTTTGCTTCTCAAACTCCCCATCCCCAAATTTAAAATAAGGTCTACAAGTTTGGGCTGTCTACTTGGACAGCTCTGTGGACTGCAAAGAGAAAGTATGTGGAGAGCGTATATGCTCTGCATGGACCACCTGTCCCTGCTCAAGTGCATTCTCTTCCTCAAGAACCAGAGAGCATGTTTGCAAACTCATTAACAGGCATCTTTCACTATGGCTTCCTTTTCATCCCTCTTGCCTGAAGAACCAATTTCTGTTAAGAACCAAAAAGACATTAAATAGCAAACTCAGTGGCCCATTATGGCAGCAACAAAAGCAACAGAAAATACTAGACAACCTCATAAAAGGTATATTGGAGTCATGCTTAGATTCCTTCTCTTGTTCTGAGAAAAAAGACAGTAGAAATAAAAACAGTTTAAGCACAAGGTCTTACCAGTCACTTTCAGATCTGTCTTCTCCTATCCACACGCCCATACTTTTCTTGATACTGAGGCACATAACTGTAAGATACTATCCGGATAACAGGGGCATTGAATCAATTATTACTGTCTCAGCAACAGAAATACTCTGATGAAGGGCATAAGGAGTATTCAAGTCACCGGATGTGCTATTAACTTGGTTATGAGCAGGACACTCCTTGTTGTCCAAGCATTTCTTTTGCTGAGACAATAGCAATTGATCTCTTCAATTTTCCCACTTTCCTCATGAAGGCTTTGGCATTCTTAGGTCTGCAGTTCGCCATGCAGATGTCTACTTCATCAACACTCAGCAGCCTCAAGGGAAGTATCTATATTCAAGAACTGAACACATTGATCGATATGGAACCCTTTCCTCTTTCCTTTGATAAGTTTATAAAAATAAACAAGAAGCTCTCCTGAAAGACCAATAAAACATAAGTGTTGCTCAGAAGCTTTGTTTCTTGACACAGCAGGATATGGAAGTTTTAATAGCATACCTGCCTTGTAGATGCCCTACTTTGTAGATTCACTGTCCCAAATGAATGCCAGCACACTGGCATTGAAGTCTTTTATGCCTATTCAATTTTTGCCAACCCATTCCTCCTCTGGTTTGAGGGACTTAAACCTCCTTTGATGGCTCTCAGAGCCTCTTCTGGCCATGATTGCTGAACACTTGACAGCACAATTTCCTGCTGATTTGAGTGGGAAACACATAAAAACTCTAGTGTAAAAGCTAAATTCAACATTATGAAAATAGTAATTTTTAAAAAGGGAATCCCCTCCCCCAATCTCTATTCAAGTTGCAACTTTCTCTTACTTTTCCCAGAAATATTAAATATAGCTTGTAGTCACCAAATGACTTTATATCCCTGGGAAAGACTAAGAACAAAACTAATGTTTCAAAATTCTCATAATCACCAGGATTTGTAATCATCCCCCCCCAAAACGTAATTGTTTCAGGACTTAAGTATCTTAACTATCTTAAGAACACATGGACAGACTCAGTCATAGTTTCAACTGGAAAAGTGAGCATCCTAGACCGAGCTAAATCCCAAAACTCTAGGGAATTCCTGAAAGCTTGGCATTCGGACAAATATCGGCCATTAATAGACACATAGAGATAAGCCATATTTACACACCATTCAAAAGGGACAATAAAAAAAGCTAAGAAGGAAACAAAAAGACCAGAACACATT